GTAGGGAAAGATAACAAGCATCATAAACTAGTTAATGCGCTAAAGTTCAAGGGCTATTCCATCTCACCTGACTCAGTTTTCTCAGAAGTTGGGAACAGGTTGATGTTCATACTCTTTATTTTATTCATGGACGCCTCTGATGACTTTCATTTCATTTTTTTCATGACGGATGTATGTTTGGACTTGATTGTTATCCAACTTTAGGGTTTAAACTGAAGGCAACTTGTTCAATCAATTGAGTTTCTAGTCATAAATTTGAAGGCTTGTATGCAGAAAGGTAGACGTTAGTTTACATTGGACTATAAGGTAGAATTTAGGTACATTCTCGGTTTACATGCTTGTAGTCTATCATTTAAAAAAACCAAAGTTGATCGGATACCTCTGCGTGCTTGCAAAGGAAAGAGTATTGCTTCCCTTTTGATGTCTTGTAGATGCTGCTCTATGTATGTTCATACTCTCTTTGTGCAAATGACTCATTGTTTGTCTTTGTCATCTGTTCAGTGTGGAATCCAAGGGCAGGGCAAGGCCTGCAGTCTCCATGATTGACATAGACCAAATTGGTACAACCGAATTAGGTGAATATGAAGTTGTAATTATACCCGATATGACACTTTCAATCGAGAGTTACGTTCAAATCCTCACGAGAATGGCTCGCTACACTGTGAATGGCGTATTGCATAGCTTGTTTACCAGAGAAGACGCAGAGCTTGCTGGACCGCTGACGAAGATCCTTGAACAATGTGGGCAGGCAGTGCCTGAAGCCCTAAGAAAAATGTCTTTTTCATAAGCCATGCCAGAACGTCGACATTTGAGTTTGCTTTTTTTCCTTTTTCGATTACCAGTTTTGCCAAATCTTGTCAGTTTATGATAAATTTCATCTTGCTAGCTTTGTCAACTTGCGTAAGAACTTCTACAACGATATAATGTTATATATAACACTGAATTTTCATTTTCAAGTGTAAAAGAGTGCAAATTTTTCTTACTTTTAATCAGGAGATCGGATTATATTTCAAGAGTATTTACCAATGACTCCATAATGTTGTTCGTATGGTTTAAAATATTTCAGTGTATTCGTTATCCTTTCTTATTTTTTCTCAAAATAAACTTCTATTTTTTTTTTTTTTTTTACACTGAAGTGTATAATATTAATAATCTTAATATTATCACGTGTAATGGTTGTCGTTTTTGTCCTCACATTCTTGATTTTCCTGTTTGTCGTCTTACTCATCAATACAATCAAGAACAAAACAAAGCTGGATTATGTTTGCATTGTTATTTTTTATCTTTCCGCTAAAGATAAGAAGGAGAGGAGGGAAATTCACATGCACAAATCTTATGGGGATCTGGATCTAGAACTACTTGAGAGCACACAAAAAACTTGGGCAATCCAACTAATACCCCATTGGTGTTTGCATTATTTTGTTCATGTATACTAATTGAGCGTACTGATCATGAATGACCCAAATTCAAATGCTCAATCTATATAAATAAGCTTTCGCTTTGTTTGTACCATATCTGACCCTCCACTCATACTGTGACACGTGGAATGGTAAGCTCTCCCAATCGCCTTGATGAACAAACATTCGACATCATCTACTGATCAACATGCAAAGCCTACAATCGGCACGCGTTGACGATTCTGCGGAACAAACCTCGAAGGCCTAGCCTAGATATCCACAGACTCGTGTCAACCTCAGAAGACTCTCCCACGAGTCTCACATTGAAACTAAGTACTAAGAGCATACGAAATGCCCTCTATAAATAAGCCCCTTCACTACAGACAAGGAGTAAGACTTTCAGCTTGACTTTTATGCTAAATACATTGTTAGTAGAAAAGCCCTTAAGAGAAACTGACTTTGGCATCAGAGGGTCTTTAGCTGGTACCACACTGGTGCTACGGACCTCATGAGGCACGGTTCTCCTTGATTCAGGATCGGCATCCCAAGAGGAGGGGAATCTGTATCAGACACTTAATCGATCCCTAGATCGTCCACACCACTTGTAAGTTGCATATATTTCTATCTGTTTAGTTTTAGCGCCAACAGGACTAGTGTAACAAATGGTTGTTGCCATAATCTTAAGTCTGTAGGCAAAACTTGCCATGATATATTCTTCAATTATGCCCTTGCGTCTAAACCCAATGTCAAAAAATCTGAAGCTTTGGCAACGAGTACACAAGTTTGGAACCAATGTGTTGAAATTAAAATTCCCTCAACATCTTCTATCACAATTCCAACTTTAAAGGCATCAAAGCTGAAGAGCTTGGATGAATGTAAAAAACATATCTCTATTAAGTGCGCTCGGGAAGTTGGTGGAAGTATTTTCGAAGGTGTGACTAGTGTAACGAATGGTTGTTGCCATAATCTTGTGTCTACGGAGAAAACATGTAATGATCTATTCTTCCACTATTCTCTTGCTTCTATACCCAATGTCGACAAATCTGAAGCTTTGGAAAAGGGTACACAAGTTTGGAACCGATGTGTTGACATTACAATTTCCCCCACGGGAGATTTACTATTATATCCAATATAGGAGCCTAAATTATAAAAAAACCCTATATGAAATGGATTTTAAAAACATACCCAAAACCCATTTACAACATAACAAAAAGGCTTTTAACTTCTTTTAAATTACAAAACTACCATTGATTTCTTAAAACAACCCAGCCCTAAAATCTCATTTAAAAAGCCCAAAACACTCAATTGGGCATCAAATTAATTTAATAATCAAAATTAAATAAAATAGGGCCAGCTATTATTTTTAAAGTTTTTTTTGGGTTTGTTTATAGGAATTAAACAGTGTAGGGTTTATTTATAATATTAGTGCTAAGAATAGGTATATGACTAAATATCTCTTCAATTTAATCAGGAGATGAGATTATATATTTCAACATTACTTTGCATTAGCATTAATTGCAGACAAATTTGTTCAGACCTATCGATTTCAAGTGTGGTATGAGAGAGTTGCTTCTGACTGCTGTCATGGGTTTGCCAAAGTAGAAAGATTAAGAGACTTCCCACCTGCTTTGGGCTACATGGGCAGCACAAACACTTGACCATATCGTTGAGCCGTTCTATCAAAACAATTTCCACGAATTAATTTTGGTCAAGACCAACTTGTTATCCATTTATTAGGTACCAATAGACTATGGTCAAAGAAATTATTGCAGAAAATTCTAAAATTTTGATCTACATATTATGTAGGAAATCCAATTAAGTTCTGCTTAAACACAACACAACTGCTGTCGACAATTTGTCTAACTTTTCTGAACTGTCTAACTTTTTCCTTCTAAAATTCCGCCACAAACTATCATTGTTTGAGTTGGACACCTTAACCAAACACACTCGAACACCTTTCTAAACTTAAGTTCCAAGGTTTGAATCAAAGAATAGTGAGATAATTACAGTTGGATCTGCCAGAGGTATGAGTCCAACTCCACATGTTTCATTTTTAATTAACATCTATGAATTCCCGTTGACATGACATCCAAAGGGCTCCGAAAAGGAAAAGAAAAACCTACAAATGAAATATTTTTTTTTGGTTGTATTTTTATCAGAAACATTAAGAAAAGAAAAAAAAAGAAAGTAGGGTTGAGAGTCGATGAGGGGGAGGTGGCCGGGTTTTTGTGTCGAGGAGCGGGTCGGGCTTGGGGTTCTGGGTTCTCCCAACAAGATTTCCGATTTAATAGTATATATTTAAGCATTTTGTAGATAAATCACAATATGACATGGGTGCATAAATTTTTCTTTTTGTAATTTTAAAGAGTTAATTTTGTTTTGTCATTCTAAAACCAAAAGAGCTACTTTTGTATATGCGTCAGATGTTGATTAGTGCGTAAGGATTACTCCTTATATGTAAGGAGCCAAGCATTGCCAAAAAATGAAAAGAGTTTGTTGCAAAGCTCTTGCCCTACCTTGATGGACTAAAACGCAGTCACCCATGATCTTTTGGCCACTATTAACGATTAAAATTCATGATTTTCAGTATTTGGATCACAATATAACTACTGACATTAATTTTAAATGTTCAAATGTAGAAATTTGTTTTATGGATGTTATTGTAAAGTGAGATCAAAACTCCGCGCCATACAAATCTGCACTGCGCATATTCCGACAATCAAAATTATATATTAAGCTAATCATGTCTCTATAATTGTAATGGTTAGGAGATTTCTTTCTCTACTTTTTGTACACGTTTGCTTTTATTCCTCCTTGTTGTGAACACTATAGGAAACTATTAGCCCAATGGAATATTAAGGCCGTGTTTGTTGGCCGGCTAGGACAAGACTGGATTGGACTAGACTGATTGAGACTAGACTAGACTTTGTATTCTAACCAGTCTGTGATTCATTTAAGCCTACCAAACAACAGACTAGATTTATGTCTAATTTAAGTGAACTTGTCCAGTCCAAACCAACCCGTCAAACATCGCTGAAGTGTACTATTCCAACACTTTTATTTACTTGATTAATCCTAGCTGCTTTGCATGATGAACACCTCTCATGTTTCTCTTTCATGCCTATATAAACACTTTGTAAGCATTATAGTTCATCCCTCTATCAAATGGTCATCACAAAACAGCTCAAATAATTTCTCAATAATAATACAAACTCAAATGAATAGTTTTCATGCATCAATCATTTGGTTATTCTTTAAAACGCCCTATGAGTGTGTTGGCTGTTGTCTTCGAACAACCACATTTTTATTAAAAGCAAGAAATATGATTATCAAAACATTCAAATGCTATCAGGCGTCTTCCATCCAAGAAGTAGAAAGAGGAAATTCCGATGAAGTATAAAGTAATTGTAAGTGCTGCCTATACGTGGTAGGCTTCCAAAATGCCACATCAGTCTTTATATTGTCAATGTGCATGCCATTTTTTCATGCTTTCAATAAATACATCATTGTACTAATTACCCAATTACTTTTCCGTTTGAGAAAAATTAGTGAGGCAATTATAATAAGGCATCTCACCCCGGCTATGGCCTAGGTTTTTTTTTTATACTGAAATGACTATTTTATGCTTACCTTAACAATACTTAACTTTTAATTCGAGACGGGGCCTAAATGCTAGTTACCTTTCTCTCTTGTCCTTCTTTTTTGACTTTTCTCATTCACTGCATGCCACGTGTATTTCACTCACACATAAATACTAAATGGCATAAAATGAATAGAAAATGTAAAAAGGGACGTCACAACTATATACTTTTTGGTGGGTCCTAAGTCTTGACGAATTGGATGTTTAATTTAATTAGCATATCATGAAAACGAAATGTGTTTCTAATCATTTTTTTCCCTCTAAACACAAAGTCTGCCCTATGCCGTAAAAGATGATCATAACCATAGAATTATTGTCATGTCACAGAGGACCTGCATTGTGGACAGTAAGATAAGAGAGGGTCCTTCCCAATCATTTCCTTTTTCTATAAACAGCCAAAGAGATGGGAATGCATGCGGGCTTAATTATTTTCACTGCTATAATAAGCAAAAGAGGTAAAGAGCAAGTTGACATACCTTGTGTACAAGACAAGCACACAACAGTCATGGTCCCTTTCATGGTCTATTAGATCTAAAAGTTTAATAGCATAATTGGGTAAACAAAAAAAATAATGGTGTGATGATTCTTCAATTAGAATCACTCTTCCTCACTTCTTTTGGATGATGGTTTCAAATCCCACAGATTACCTAGTCCATAGAAAAAAGCAGTCAAGATACTGGTTAAGCAAAATGATAATAAAAACACAAAGATAGAACCCATCAAAATATGTCTTTAAAAAAAAGGCTATGAGCATTGAACGTTATTTGTTTAAAAAATCAATGATGTGTCTGCACATCTGTAACATATTACAATCTTGTTAAAAGCAAATAAGATTCAGAATGGATCCATATTTGAATAAATGATAGATTCAAATGCTAAATGTAATTAATCTGAGTTGCATATTACACTAGCCAGGTTG